GACACAATGAAAGCAGTCCTGAAAGGGAAGTTCATAGCACTAAAAGCCTAACTCAAAAAGCAAGAAACACTTCTAAAAGACTCTCTAACCCTACAGCTTAAAGACTTAGAAAGAGAACAACAATAAAAAACCAGAGTAAGTAGAAGGAAGGAAATAATAAAGATCAGAGCAGAAATAAATGACATAAAGACTGAAAAAACAATACAAAAGATCAATGAAACCAAGAGCTGGTTCTTTGAAAAGATCAACAAGATTGATGAACCTTTAGCCAGACTCATCAAGAAACAAAGAGAGAGGACCCAAATAAACAAAATCAGGAATGAAAGGGATGAAATAACAACTGACCCAACAGAAATACAAAGGATTGTAAGAAAATACTATGAACAACTATACTCCACCAAGCTGGGCAACCTGGACGAAATGGACGAATTCCTAGAAAAACATAATCTTCCAAAACTCAATCAGGAAGAATCAGAAACCTGAATAGGCTGATAACTGCTGATAAAGTTGAAGCAGTAATCAAAGGGCTTCCATCACACAAAAGCCCTGGCCCAGATGGCTTCACAGGGGAGTTTTACCAAACACTCAAAGAAGAATTAACACCTACCCTCCTCAAACTATTTCAAAAAATCCAAGAAGAAGGAAGACTTCCAAGCTCTTTTTATAAGGCCAGCATTAGCCTTATTCTAAAACCAGATAAAGACACTACAAAGAAAGAGAATTACAGGCCAATATCCCTGATGAACATAGATGCTAAAATCCTCAACAAAATATTAGCAAATTGGATGCAGCAATATATTAAAAATGTCATACACCATGACCAAGTGGGATTTATTCCAGGGATGCAAGACTGGTACAATATCTGCAAATCAATAAAAGTGATATATCACATAAACAAACTGAAAGACAAAAATCACATGATCATATCAATAGATGCAGGAAAAGCATTCAATAAAATCCAACACCCATTTTTGNCACATGATCATATCAATGCAGAAAAAGCATTTGATAAAATCCAACACTCATTTTTGATAAAAACTCTCAGCAAAGTGGGAATAGAGGGGTCATACCTCAAACATAATAAAGTCCACATATCACAAACCTACAGCCAACATCATACACAATGGGCAAAAACTAAAACCATTTCCCCTAAGAATAGGAACAACACAGGGGTGACCACTTTCACCACTCTTATTCGACATAGTACTGGAAGTCCTAGCCACAGTAATCAGACAAGATGAAAACATAAAAGACATCCAAATTGGAAAGGAGGAAGTAAAACTGTCATTATTTGCAGACTACATGATATTGAGAAAATCCTAAAGACTCCACCAAAAAACCACTAGATTTAATAAATGAATTCAGCAAGGTAGCAGGATACAAAATTAACACCCAGAAATCAATGGCATTTTTATACACCAATAATGTACTCTCAGAGAGAGAAACTAAAAAAAAAATCCCATTTACTATTGCAACTAAAAAAATAAGGTACCTAGGAATTAACTTAAGCAAAGATGTAAAAGACCTGTACTCGGAAAACTACAGGACACTGAAAAAAGAAATAGAGGAAGATATAAACCAATGGAAAAATATACCATGTTCATGGATTGGAAGAATTAACATAATTAAAATGTCCATACTACCCAAAGCAATCTATAAATTCAATGCAATCCCTATTAAAATGCCAACAGCATATTTCCCTGATATAGAACAAACACTTCAAATATTTATATGGAACCAAAAAAGATCCCAAATAACCACGGCAATCTTGATGAAGAACAAAGTTGGAGGGATCACAATACTAGATATCAAGTTATACTACAAAGCCACTGTAATCAAAACAACCTGTTACTGGCACAAGAACAGACATATAGATCAGTGGAACAGAACAGAGAACCCAGATATTGACCTATGCCATTATGGTCAAAATATATTTGACAAAGGAGGCAAGAACGTACAATGGACAGTCTCTTCAATAAATGCTGCTGGGAAAATTGGACAGGTAGATGCAAAAAAGTGAAACTAGACCACCAACTTACACCATACAAAAAAATAAACTCAAAATGGATGAAAGACTTAAATGTACAACGTGAAACCATAAAAATCCTAGAAGAAAACATAGGCAGCAAAACCTCAGACATTTCTCGTAGCAATGTGTTTGCTGATACCTCTCCTAGAGCAAGAGAAACAAAGGAGAAAATAAGCAAATGGGACTGCATAAAAATAAAAAGCTTCTGCACAGCAAAAGAAACCATCAACAAAACAAAAAGGGAGCCCACTGTACGGGAGAACATATTTGCCAATGACACATCTGATAAAGGGTTAATATCCAAAATATATAAGGAACTCATACAACTTAACAAAAGGAAGACAATCCAATTAAAAAATGGGCAAAGGACCTAAATAGATACTTCTCCAAAGAGGACATACAGATGGCCAAGAGACATATGAAAAAATGCTCAAAGTCATTAATCATCACAGAAATGCAAATTAAAACCACAATGAGGTATCACTTCACACCTGTCAGAATGGGTAGCACCAATAAATCAACGAACGACAAGTGCTGTCGAGGGTGTGGAGAGAAGGGCACCCTGGTACACTGCTGGTGGGAATGCAGGCTGGTGCAGCCACTATGGAAAGCAGTATGGAGTTTCCTCAAAAAATTAAAAATTGAACTGCTATTTGACCCAATGATCCCACTTCTAGGAATATATCCTAAGAAATCCGAAACACCAATTTATGCACCTCTATGTTCATAGCAGTGCAATTTACAATAGCTAAGATCTGGAAACAGCCCAAGTGCCCATCAGTAGATGAGGAGATAAAAAAGCTGTGGTACATTTACACCATGGAAATCTGTGCAGCTATAAAAAAGGATCTCTTATCCTTTGGGACAGCATGGAGGGAACTGGAGAATATTATGTTAAGTGAAATAAGCCAGTCAGAGAAAGACAAGTACCACATGATCTCACTTATATGTGGAATGTAATAAACAAAATAAACTGATGAACAAAATAGATCCAGAGACACAGAAGCATGGAACAGACTGAGGATCTCAGAGGCAAGGTGGGGGTGGGGGAGTGGGTGGGGAGAGATTAATCAAAGAACTTATATGTTTATAAGCATAACCCACAGACACAGACATTGCTATGGAGGAGGCCTGGGAGTGGGGTGGGAAAAAAACAAAAACTCATTCAAAATATACTTAGAACTCCTAAAACTCAACAATAAGAAAATAAATAACAATTAAAAATGGGAAAACTACTTGAATAGACATTTTATTAAAGAAGATACAGAGATTGAAAATAAACATATGAAAAGATATTTAGCATCTTATGTCATTATTGAATTATAAATAAAAACAATGAGATACCACTACACAACTATTAGTATGACCCAAATTCAAAACTCTGACAACACCAAACGCTAGAGAGGATGTGGAAAAACAAATTCTCATTCAGTGAGGGTGGGAATGAAAGGTGGTGCAGCCACTTTGCAAGACAGTTGGAAATTTCTTACAAAACTAAACACTCTTACCATATGACTGAGTAGCCACACTCCTTGGTATATAACCAAAGAAGTTGAGAACTCATATCCATCAAAAAACTTGTACACAATGGTTATAGCAGCTTTATTCTTAATTGCCCAACGTTGGAAACAACCAAGGTGTCCTTCAGTAGGTGAATAAATAAATTGTGGTACATACAGATAATGAAATATCATTCAGCACAAAAAAGAAATGAGCTACCAAGCCATGTAAAAATATGGAGGAAACTTAAATGCATATTACTAAGTGAAAAGAGCCAATTTGAAAAGGCTACATACTGTATGGTTTCAACTACATGACACTTCGGAAAAGGTCAAACTATGGAGACAATAAAATCTCTGTGCTTGCCATGGGTTGGGGAGGGAGGGATGAATATGTAGATCACGGAGGATTTTTAAGCCTGTGAAACTACTCCCTATGATACTACACTGTGGATACATGTTGGTATACATTTATCTAAATCCATTGGAATGTACAACATTAAGCGTGAACTTTAATAAAAATTATGTATTTTGGGTGATAATGATGTGTCGCTGTGTGATCATCAATTGTAACATATGTAACACCGTGGTGTGGATATTGATAGAGGAGGAGGTTTTGTGTGTGTGTATGTGTTAATTGGAGTATATGGGAACTCTCTATACTATCCACCCAATTTTTCTGTGAACCTAAAACTGCTCTAAAGATAAAGTTTATTAATTTAAATAAAAAAGCAAAAGAGAATTCTGGGGAAAGTGGGATTAAAAAAAAAAGGGGTGTTTTAAAAAGTACTGCCTTCATAGTGTTGATGTGGTGATTAAATAAGACCATATATGCTCCAGCACATATATTAAATGTTAATTTTTATTAGCACAGGATTGGCACATAACTCTCAATAAATGTTAGCTATTATTATTACCACCAAATTATAAACTTTTGGTAGCTTACACTGAAAGTTACTAAACTATTGGTACGCCTGGTAAGGACCATAACATAAATTTTTAAAAAGTACTAGAAATCAATTGCCACATAAGAATCTAGCACCTTTAAAACACATTTATTTCAGGATTAAAGTACTACATGTTCTTCGTACTATATCACTCATTTTGGGTTTTGTTTACAAGTCAAATATAGTGTAAAGTTTGACATTTTACTTTATAACTTTATGTCAGTTATCCCCAATCTTTATTATTCCCCAACATACCTGAGAGATATGGTACCTGCCATTAGGCACAGTGGCTCACTAGAGCACTGATTCTCCACTAAGTAGGGAGAATGCTGTGGAGGTAAGGTGGGGTCAGTTGTCTTGAGTTGAGAATTACTAGTTCACATAATGGAAAAATATTATAAAAAGAAAGCTGTGATTCAGAGTTAAGAAACAGAGTTAAATCCACAGGAAAAAAAAATCAAGTATATCACACAATCCAATTCTTTAATTTATATTCAAAAGGTGGAGGTATTTAAAATTTCTTACTAGTGTGTTTTCTCCATTGGAACTATTCCAGAGCCTCATTCGATTATCTGTACCAACAGTGAGTAGGTGAAGCCCATCACTTGTGAAACATAAGCCATTAACTTTCCCATTATGAGCAGTGTTTGCTGCAATGAAAAATACAGTTTAGTTTATCTGTTCTTGTATTCAGCACACATTTAATGCTTGATGATCTACTAATTTAAACATATTAAATGACAACTATCTGAATTACTTAAAATATATAAGTTGATTATATTTAAAATTAATCATTTTGGATTATTTGAATATGATAAGTGCTATAAATTAGAACCACAAAAAAAAAAAAAAAGAGAGAGAAAAACTGAAAAACCAAAGGGAAAAAAGTCCTGCCAAATATATTTGTCTTCAAAGAATAAGCTGTGCTATAAAACTCAATTACATGCATAGTTTTACGCTAAAATTTTAAACACCTTTCAGACTTCTTATATACTATTTCCATTTTTAATCTAAAAATCATTCCATGGACTATTAAAAATCATTAATACTAACATTTCCTATTAAAAAAATTTAATGGGAAGACAACTGCTATAGCCTCAATCAAAATTTATATTACTATCAAAATAAACAACTTTGAGAAAGCATAATTCTTACTAGTCTGATTAATTTAAGTTAAAAGATTATTAAAACAATTATAGATTTTATATAGTTCATCCTACTATATTTCTGGTCCAGAATTAATTCTGAATCAGAATTCTAACCTACACAAAAAATAAATTCCATTGTAAAAATACAATTGAGGTACTTTATTACCTGGATTGCAGCTGACATATTTAACACAACCTGCAAATTTTATTCTGACATAATGGTCACTATATGTTACTATTCCTCTAATTTATTGGAACTTTCTAAGTGGCACTGAATTTGTATTAGTTGGTGTCATTGGAGGAATAAAAAAGGTAACAAGTTAATCCAGAAAAGTTTCTTTACTTGAAAATTCAGGAATAATGAAATGCCATACTTACTTGTATCTTCAAGAAAGACAACAATAACTTATTTAAATTAAGAAATTGACTTATTGTGAATGCCTTTTATAAAAATCACAAAATTTTTCATTTGTCAATATATATTTATTATTTAGTTTCATTCAAAATTTCAATATAAAAATACTATCATTGTTATATTTCCATAGTAGTGCATTCTTCATTACCTGATTCAGCAGCTTGTGACTTTTCCCCATTATGCTGATCAAGAGTAATCAAACATCCTGATGCTTTCCTCACATCCCATAATTTTACTCTACTGTCAGCACTGAGAAGAAACAAATGTTACAATGACATATAACTAGGACAGTGACTGCTCTTCATCTACCTTTCCAGTATAATGGCATATAGAGGTTTGTGAATATTTGTATATTTGGATTATTGTACTTTTGCCTTTTCAGCAAACATTCAATAGGAGGACAGAGAAGTAAAAAATAAGAAAAAAAGGTAAGCTTCTTTGGATACAAGGACAGCATTCTGCTGCTTTTCATTTTATTTTTAATGATATGAACATCTTTCTCCTCAAGGACTAGATAGGCTTAGAGCTTGTTGCTTAAGCAAGTTTCTCCCTACATCCTTACTATTGTTTATTATTCAAGTGTTGTCTAGACAATCAAGCAGTTAACTAATTTCATTTTGCTTAAAAATTCGTTTGGCATGAATTTGGTGGGCTTCCCCCCCCCCCATTTTATACGATAAAAATAAGAACAAAGTGAATAATAAGAATAATGTATTTTCATTTGGTTTCCTGTACTCAAATCAATCTTTGCCTGATATATAAGAACTAAATTTAATGTCTTCTAGAAATTAGATATTTATTTTCATTTTATTTCAAGGAAGTGAAAAGAAGAAAGGTAAAACCATGATCACACATTAATTTCAGCTTCCCAACTAAAGACAATATTAATCAATTCAACTGATGCTTTCATATTGTCACAAAGACCTCAACAATATTCCATTGGATTTATCCAGGCCATTTTAATTAGAAAGACCATTGCATTGCCTTTTATAAACCTATTTCTTATTTATAAATCATGTATATGTATGATTTATAAATCATATATATGTACATATGATTTATCTCTTCCTATAACCTTGATTCATTTCACAGATCACCACCAAACCTAGCCAGTTAGAAGAGTCAGCAAAAAACTAGCATTTTCCTTTCTCAAGTTGGTTTTATTTCTTCCCAGCTGAGGAAAATGTGTGCAATGGGATGAGTGTAAGGATGTAAGTCTCCTCTGAAACAGATTAGATTTAGAGATATCTGACTCCTAACATCGATTACTAAGACCACTTTGGTACTGATTCAAATTTCAAGGGTACTCTGAGAACTGAACAACTCTTAGCCTCCCTGTGATTTGAGGAAATTCCATTTAGGCAGAAACAATGTAAATTTGCCCTAGTATAAACCCACAACCAGCACCTAGTTCCTCACCTTCACACCTCTTCAGCCAACCTCTTAAGGCTACATTCTACATTCTTGTTCAACTTCAGAAATTTTTAGTTTCAACATCACATTCTGCAAACTATTAACAAATTATCTTTGGGGACTAAACTGTGACAGAGAGGGAGGGCTAGCAGCTTTATAAAAATCCAGACACATATCTTTATAAAACTAATCTGAATAGTTTTGTAATAATACTTCTGCAAAACATTTTATTAAAATATCTGTATCAGCCCTGGCCGGTTTGGCTCAGAGGTTAGAGCATCGGCCCGTGGACTGAAGGGTCCCAGGTTTGATTCTGGCCAAGGGCACATACCTCTTTTGCAGGCTCAATCCCCAGCCCCCAATCGGTGCTTGAGCAGGAGGCAACCAATTGATGTGTCTCTCTCCCTCTCCCCGTCCCTCCCCTCTGGCTCTCCACCTTCCTCTCTCTGAAACGCAATGGAAAAAATATCCTTGGGTGAGGATTAAAAAAAAAAAGTCTGTATCAAAATCTCTGACTACTAATTCTATCCCTTTAGTTTAATTTTCTTACTCTGACACACATACGTCTATCTCATTAGGTACCTGATCCCCTCCTATAAGCCTTTTTGTGATTGCATTTCCTTCCTTATACTCATGACTTTTAACAATTTTCACACAGTTGTTAAGTCTGTGACACTTAATGTTTTGGCTTCTGTGACTTCGTACAACTGTGGTCGATGCCTTCAACTATGCACACAACACTGTCCAGCATCCTTGTGTGCCCCTAACCAGACCTCTCACCCAATCGTTAAAACCGTTCATCCAAACCTTCACTACTTTCCCTAAGACTGTATTCCCATTCCAGTATTTTCAATAGGTGACATGAAGTTCTACTCCACTAAAAAAACATAGAGGCTACTAGGTTTGCATTTCTTGAGATCTCTGCAAATTTAACTGTATTCTTGTCTACCTTTTCCTCCTTCCATTTGGTCTCACAGTGCCCTTCATGTGTCAAATGAAGTATCCTCCTTCCACCTGGACCCTTGATACTACCCTCTTGCTTCTGTTTAAGGTCCTGAAGCAACAACTATTCCCTTCATTTCTTATCTTCACCAATTCCTCTCTCCTGGTACTTTCCTTTCAGCATTTAAATAGGTAAGACTCTTCCCTTCAACAAACAAAACCCCCCAAACCCTTGGTCCTCTCAGAGTTAAGTGCTCTGCTCTCTTTTCCCATTTTACACCTCTCAGAGACATAACTCTATTAAAGCATTTTTCAAGATGTTCTGTAATCGTGGGTTTTTCTGACTACCCCTTATTGGACTGTAGGAAATATATGCCTTGGTTAACTCTGGGTCCCTAGTACAATGCTTGGCACATGGTAGGCAGTCTTTAAATATTAGTAAATTGAATCAATGAATGGACAGATGTGTTGAAACATTCAAAATAATTCTGGATTAAAGAAAATGAATAAAAATTAACAGTGCTATACTTTTATATGCAAAAATGACACAACACAGTTGTTTTCCTGTTTTTCCGGCAGTACTAGATTTGCACTGCTACACTGATTCTCCTGTTTTCTCTACTTTAAAAGGTGAGTGCCATCAAGATGGATAGTCAGGATTAGAACTTTGATGCAAAGAAAGATTTCTTTTGGTGATATGAATTAAAATCTGCAACTTAATTACTTAATTTTAATGACCTAATAGATAACTAAACATGCATCTTACATAAATATGCTCTTTTAAACATGTTTTTCATTCATTATTAACTTCAAAACCAACTAATTTGCAATTTACCTTGCAGTTGCCAAGATATAGTCATAACGTGGTGACCAGGAGACTGCCAGTACTTCTTGTCTGTGACCTGCAAACACATCTCTATGAAAAGTCTTGCAAAACATTTGAAAATCAAAAGATACAGTGCAATTAATTTTGATTCTGAAGAAAGTGAAGACTAAATATTAAAGGTAAATTGATATAATCTTTTTTTCACTTTTATAAGAATGTTTGAATATTAATGTGAAGTGTATGAGCATTTCTCACATATGGTATTTTATTATAAAAGGCTTGGTTTTACTTTGGAAAGAACAGGCAGAGCAAGTGAATATTCCTTTTTAAATACAGCTGTTGGCCTAATTACAGGGGTGGGGAACCTCTTTTCTGCCAAGGGACATTTGGATATTTATAACATCATACGAAATTATCAACTTAAAAATTACCAATGAAAAAAGCTCCTAGATTTATTGAATTTTGAGTCCTGCCTGCGGTTGTCTTGGCAGGGCCAGAACAAATGATTACACAGGTGAAATAAGACCCGCAGGCGGGGTGTTCCCCACCCTTGGGCCCTAACAACTCAATCCATCAATAAGCGAAATAGGTTAAGCTCTTACTTATCTCTACAGCAAAAGCCACTGCAACAAACCAAAGAAGATAAACATTCTAAACAATAAAAATATTTTCTAACTTTTCAGAAAGTTATAAAAGAGAAAAAATTATTTTTATTCATGATTATAATAAAACACTTGTATAAAATATTTTTCCTAGAAAGCACAGGTGATAAGTTCACAGGATATGTGTTTTCAGCAGTTTAATTCATTTTAACCTAACTGAACTATTCAAATCAGTTGTTTTGATCTACCTAGCTTATATTAAATAGAAATTCATGATGATATAAAACAAATGTTATCTATCTCACCGAGTTTTCCTTATATATTTATTATGTGTTTCTCAGAGATGAATAAAGGCGTATATTTCTGAATTATACCCCATTTTTTCATTGTTTAGAATGAGATGACCTAATACTGATTTTAAAAAGTAGCAGAACAGCCCAGCCAGGTATGGCCCAGCAGTTGAGCATCGGCCTAGGATCCAGAAGATTGAGGTTCAGTTCCTGGTCAGGGCACATGCTGGGGTTTACCGGCTCGATCCCCAGCAGGGGGCTGCAGGAGGCAGCTGATCAATGATGACTCTCATCATTGATGTTGCTATCTCTCTCTCCCTCTCCCTTCCTCTCTCTGAAATCAATAAAGATATATTAAAAAAAAAAAAGGTAACAAAAATAATTTAATTTACCTTTACCACAGTATTATTTCAATATCTTTTTCTAAAATATTTTTACTGAGGAAAAAACAATGCACCTAAATTTTAAGAACCTTTATTCAGCCAGAACAGTATTAGACGATGTTCATGGGACAAATGTACTCATGTAAGCTTCATAAGTAGTTTATTTACACGTAGAAATAGCACAAGGAGCCCTAGCTGATTTACCTCAGTGGTTAGAGCATTGGCCCACAGACCAAAGGGTCCCAGGTTCAATTCCAGCCTAGGGTGTGTACCTCAATTGAAGGCTCAATCCCCAGCCCAGGTCAGGGTGCGTGCAGGAGGCAACCACTCGATGTGTCTCTCTTGCATAGATGTTTCTCTCTGTCTCTCTCTCTCTTTCCCCTCTACTCTCTCTGAAAAGCAATGGAAAAAATATCCTCAGGTGAGGATTAAAAAAAAAAGAAAATAACACAAGGTTTTTAGTTAGACCTTTCATAACCTTTGAGCTCTCCCTATGGCCATTGTTCATATAAATATCTCCTCAATAGTTCAGTTTTATAAGAATAATGCACAGAAGGATCTTTATTTCCCTGTTGACTTTTAACAACTAGCACAAAATACATCAGTCATGTCACTTACAAAGAATACATTGTTAGTAATGTTTCTTTTTACTCAGTGGTTTACTCAGAGTAGTTGTTGTTACAAATAAAAAATACCCTGTAGAATGTGGCAACAGGATCCAGACTTTAAGTCACAAAGTTGTACTTTGGGAGCTCTAGTGCCAACTGTAAAACAAAAACAGAGATGGTTTAAGATAATTTTATTATAAATCACCATCAAAAGGAAATAAGAAAATACCATTATGAATTATGACATTTCCACTACATCCATGAAGAAATATGAAAATATATGTTAAAAATATACTTCAAATGGTTTTTAATGTTTATAACTAGAAAACTTATTTTAATGGTAGTTATATTTTAGTACTAAGACTTTATTATTGCATTATTTTTTAACATTTAATTTAGAAATAATTGTATTTGTTCACAGGAAGTTGCAAAGATAGTACAGAAAGGCCCTTGTGTACCCTTCAATCAGGTTCCCCCAATAGTGATATATTAGGTAACTTCAGTACAATACCAAACTCAAGAAATGTGTATTGATACAATGTGGTATATAAGTCTATACTATTTTATCATCTCAAATTAGTTGTTTCGTTTTGTTGATAATGAAATATTTATAATCACTAGTAATAGAGTCCAGACACTCTGGACACAGACTGAGTGGATCTCAAAGACAATTTAATGCTCAGCTTTTCTCTTCAGATAAAGTAGCTGACTGATGTCCACAAGTGAGGAGGTCCTGCAGTGCCAGAGAATAATGAAGTCACAGGGACCTGACCCCTGATACCAGAAAAAACTTTTTCCCCCCATATACATGAACATTTTTGTTGCAGGTACTTTCATAAAAATGGATGTTTAATTTGAATCACACAATTTTAGAGAAAAGGAAATAATTTCCTTGTTTTATTGTGTCGAATTGAAAAAGTGGTCAAATTTTGTTCATGTAAAATCTTTGAAACTTTGGTGGTTTAAAAGTAATTCTTTGGGAACAGAAAGGTGCCTTCTTAGTTAAACTTTGAATCCTACCCACTAGCACAATGCCTGACTTGCACAGTATTTGTTAAGCTGAATATAAATAGTAGCATATACTTGTCTTTCTGGTTTTTTCTTTAAAGAATTGTGATCTCCATCTGGGTTAAATGTCTAAATCAAAACTAACTAGAAATGAAAAGGGAGAAAGTTTTCAAAATGTTATAAACCAAAAGAAAACATGTACAAACCTGCTACCAAACAGTGCTTGGTGGCAACTGGAGACATATGATGACTATAAACTGTTTCTTCAAAATTAAATACATCTGCAGTCTGATAATCAAAAGACATTTTAAAAGTGTAAGTTCTAATTAGTCAGAAAAAATAATAAATTTCCTATTTACTTATTTTCACACTGTTAGCAATTTTTAAATTGACTTAGCAATTTATTTGACCTAAACATAGGAATGTTAATACCCTCAAAACCTGAAATTTTAAACATGAATATAAAATTATAAATAACACTTTTCTCCCTTTTGTGAGAAAAATGGTTTTTCTCTAATAAATCCCAGAAATTAAGACAACCTCCAACTCATCATCTTATTCTCCTCACCTAGAATGGGTTCCTCCTTTAAAACCATACTTTTCAGTTATATAAGACTAAAATCATCTGTCATTTTCAGCTTTCTTTCCCCCAACTACTTCCAAGAAATCCTAATAAAGCCCAGAATGCCTAACAGTTCTTCCTGACTTCACTTTGCCTTCTTGAGCTTGGATTCCAAGGTCCGATACTTCAACAGCCAGCATGTGTTCTTCACCTCTTTTGTCGTTATCCTTGCACTAGTCAATACCTCAAACCTGGGTAATCCCAAATGTCTGCCTTCTGTGCACCTATACTCAGATTGATCTATACCAGAGGTCAGAAAACTTTTTCCATAAAGGGCCAGCCTATAAATATTTTAGGCTGTGCAGACCAACTACTCATTTCTGACATTAGTGCATCAAAGTGGACATAGACAACAATGGAGCACGTTTGTGTTGCAATAACACTTTGTTTACAAAAATAGGCCATGAGCCAGACTTGTGGGTTGCAGTTGGCTGACCTCTGCCTGGGAAAATGTGGGAAGAAAAATGCAGGGAAACCATTTAGCAGTTTTTAGTAGTAGTCTAGATATATGGTGATGGTGAGGGAAGAGAAATATGATAATCTGAAGACTGCTAAGAATTGAGGACTAAATGGATGTGAGGAGTGATCAGTTTGTAACATGCTAAGTTTGAAGAGATGACACTACATTCAAGTAAGAGAGGTTCTGTTGACAGGTAGAGAAATATGGAACTAGGGCTCAGGAAAAAGATTAACACTAAAAATATAAATTTGACCAAATATCATTAAAACTATTATCTACTCTTGACCTTAACTAAGCTATAATATTAATATCTTTCTTTTCCTTTAAGTTTCAGGTCAATAGGAGATAAATCCAATTTCCTTCCTTAGACCACGAGATTATAGAACCTCGGAGGGAAGGTGGGGAAAGATTAAGCAAAGAATTTACATGCATATATGCATAACCCATGGACACAGACAATAGTGTGGTGAAGGCCTGGGGCAAAGGGTGGGTGCGGGGTGGAGGGGGTCAATAGGGAAAAAAGGGAACATCTGTAATACTTTCAACAATAAAGATAAATTAAAAAACTAAAAAAAAATAAAGTTAAAAAATATATATATAGTAGCTTTAAATAATAAAGATAATAGCTAATTGTTTTTGAGCACTTACTATATGATAGGCACCGATCTAGTTTCTTTACATATGCTGACCTATTTAATCTTTTTTTTTTTTTTAAATATATCTTTATTGATTTCAGAGAGAGGAAAGGAGAGGGAGAGAGAGAGAGACAGAAACATCAATGATGAGAGAGTCATTGATCAAGCCCACAACCAGGCATGTGCCCTGACCGGGAATTGAACCCTGATCGCCTGGATCCCAGGTGAGCCACGCCCAGCCAGGCGACCTATTTAATCTTAATAACCATTCTATAAGGTACAATCATTACCCACATTTACAGATAAGGAAACTGAGAGAGGTTCAGACACTTGCCTCAAGTAATCTAACTCCCCTTAACTACTATAGTGCTTTCACATCTAGTACATGACATCTTAGCAAATAATGACACTAAAATGGTTTAGGAATAAATTCTTTGTCATCCTAGAGCCATATGGAAAGGTTTTAATATACTTACTTGTAATGTATTTGTATCCCATACTTTCAGAGTTTTATCAAATGAACTTGATGTGAACATGCCAGTGTCATGAGGATACCACTGTACAGTCTCCACACTATATTTGTGAACATCAGGATGATATCTACAAAATAGTAACTGAAATATAAAAACTGACTTACGTGAGTTTGAAACTGATACTATATTAACAAACAGTCTCAGGAAGGATGATATGAATGGCTAAATGTAGATCACACGCCTGTGTTCCAACTGTTCAGGGAAAGAGGATGTTCAGGCACCTCTAGTTTCAGGCTTCCCTAGTGTGATGTAGAGGCCTGCTTCCTACTAGGACTCTTAAAATGAGGTTTATTTCAGTACTGTCGCCTGGAGGGATCAGCCAGTTCATGTCTGGACCTGGTCATGGAGGCGGCAGTGATTTTTCCTTACTGGAAGAGGTATCTATTCTGGTTTTGGATTTGCCCTTCCCAGTATCATTTTATCAGCACTATCATTCTTAGAAGTGTCAAATGCCTCACACACTTCCAGGGTACCAAGCACAATACTACTTCTGATCAAGGAACTTACTCTATGGCAAAAAAAAAAAAAAAAAAAAAAAACAAAAAAAAAAAAAAAAAAAAAAAAAAAAAAA